AGAGACCTCAAGACAAAAATTAAAAATATAACTCAACTGTCCATAGCTGAAATTATAAGAACTTGATGGAACAAGACAGGTATCCAGCTAAATGTGAGAAAATAAAATCTCATCTCTCTCCTGGGGTATGTGTGTACTAATAAAATTATTGACTACAGTGAACAAAGCATATCATGTCACAATTCTTTGCCACATCTTGCTGGAGATGCTATGCATAATTCATTGAACATTTATGATTTTAATAAGTTTTAGTGCAGATTTTGAGATTATAGTAAATTACAGCTGGGTTTCAGTTTCACAGAAATTTCTAAAAAAAAGGTTTTACTTGAAACCAAATGGGTGCTAGGAATTTACATGTTTCTTCCAGAAAGAGAATTCCAAGTATATTCAAACAACAACAAAAAGCAATTCTTATGATTTTTTTTTGGTTCTTTATTTAATTTATTATTTACTAGAGCAGCTGTCTGCTCCTTAGTCACTGAGAAATTCCCTGAGTTTATAAAGATGTCTTGGTAGCCTGTGGAATTGGGCCAAGTAGAATGAGAAAGACCTTCAACTGAGGAAATCTCCCATCTCTCTCAAAACATTCCTGGGGAACCAATTTTACGCTCTTTGTCTTCATTATTCTGACTTGCAGTGAAGATGCCCTAGGTTCCCAAAACCCTGATACTCTATGTACTCATCATCTTGACCTTTCTGTCCTACTCCTTCTGTGGCTCCAACATTGGTATGTTGAAAATGTCAAGTCTCACTGGGTCTCTCATTATTTTACTAAGTTTGCCTTTCAACCTAGGTCAATTTTTCCCTATTTAAATCCCATGATTTCTCTAGACCATTCAAGTCTTCATGCAAAGCCTGGTGAATGGCAGAGATGCAAAGTACATCTCAATACAGAGGTCTCAGTAGGCATTAAATGTTCTCTGGAAGGGCCACTGTTCTATATTCCCATAATATTCCTTCTTCTCTGTATTAATTTAATTTCACATCTATAAGAAAAACACTGCCCAGTCTAGGTGAGAAATGCCTTTCTTTTCAGTTCTTCCGGGGCTTTGGGTGATATCATTCTCAAGCTGATGGCTAGAAACATCAAATCCAGCTTTCACACTTGGATGAATGCTCTCAAAAACAAGGGACATAATGTGGTTTTAAATCCCACAAAATACTGCTTTATGTTTCCTGCCCATTTTTCGTTCTTTCTCTGTCTCTTATTTCCTTGGTTTGTAGCCATTTTGAATGGAGGCCATCTTCCCTTTTGTCCCAGAAACTAGGCTGGAAATATCAGAACCTCAAATCCAGCTCCAGTACATATTACATGTTTTATCATTGAAATTTAATCTGTCAGTAAAAATACCCACATGAAAGAGAAATTAACTCACTGTGTCCCTCTCTCAGTAAATAAAATAATATAGAAAGTTGATAAAGGAAAGAAATGTAAGAAGTATTAACTGGAGCTACTCTACGTTGCCCTGAGGATAACCTGGCTAATGTCTTTTTAATCTGCTTAATGGGAACACTTGCAACTTCAAGTGCTTTTTAGAACCATAGTCTGAGATCCATTGTGAAGGGTCACATTGCTATGAATTGCTGAAACTAAGTCCTCCATGTAAGGCATGGCAGATTTATTGTGTTTCTATTGGGAAAATGGGCACAGGTGGTGAGGATGGCATTTGCATCTCTCTGACCTCACTTGCTGTTCATGCATGCTTCATGTGGTTTCAGTCACACCATACTGCCTTCCTCAACCTGCATCTAACACCAATCTTGACTGCATTCAGAATCTGTAGTGGTTCCACTTTTCCTGCCAACCTTTGCAGTTCCTTGCAGCTACTTGCTGTCACTAAACTAAGTCTAGCATCTGAAGTTCTGCATTTTGACAGATCTGCCTCTGCTGTCAGGCCAGTATGACCTATACATGAAGTAAATTGCCTTTCTGAAATTTATTCCACTCTTTCTTTAATGACTGCTTTGGAGGGAAACAGGAATAGTTTTCTTTATGCATTGTCTGTTAGGTTTCCAAGACAGAATAGGAAAACCTGATGCAAGATCCTCTTTCTTAGCTAGATGCTGCTGTTGCTATTGCAGTCATCTCCTGCTTTTGAAGGGGCCTGGATTGGAAAGGGAGGAGAATTTGGAGGGTTCCAGAAGAAAGTTTCATGTCTTTGATATTTTACAGAGTTTTGTAGTTCTTCATAGAGTAAGATTTGATTAAGGATGTAGGTAGAGTGGGGCATGTAGGCCTTTTCAGTTCCTCTCACAATGTTCTTCCATGAAGTAGCACGCATGCTGAAGAAAATGTCTTATGTCAGGAAATGCTGTTGATGAGCCCAACTGCTGCTTTGTGCTCTGGAGAAGGTGTCTCTTTCCCTGCTTCTGTTTGTTACCTGCCCACCTGACTGTGGGGTTAGTCTAGCATTTTGCCTCCTTATGGAGACAAACACTGGCTGTTTCAGAAAGAACAACAGTCCATTCTTCTGAGCCTTCTGTGCTGTTTTGCAGTCAGGTTTGTTTCTGTCTGCATCTGAACACATTATGCCAGGTAACTTACAGCAATTTTCTTATTGCTGTGCTACCATACATCGTGTGATGACTTCTAACACGCTTCTAGCTTACTCTACCCCCTTGAATCACGATGAAACAGAATTCAGATGAAATTTATTCCCACTGTATCTTTTGTTGCTACAAATAACCTTTCTAGCCTCCTGTCCTAAAAGAATGTTCTCAAGATTGAATAGAAGTCACCTATACTACCCTACTGAAAGCAGAATGTTCCTTATGTCCCTGATGCTGCCAATGGGAGTGTCCAGAAGCTAAGTGGCAGCATTCTGCCGTCCAGGTGCGCCTAGGTTCTAGTCAGTATGAGTGCTTTTTTGATGAAATGGTCTTCCTGTACTATATTGGTTGGTATAATCATTTTTGAGGACAAAAGTCTAGCAGGTGGTTTGTCGGGCAAAACTTCTTTGAGAACCAAGCAGAATCAGTCAACCTCTCAGCTTTCTTGTCCAGTGAATTCAACTTTATTATTATTATTTTTAAATTAGGGAAAAGAAAAAAAAAGAAAAAAAAAAAAGGTGGCTAAGATCATTAAGCAGTTCAGTAAAATACCGTAATTTTTCTAAGAATTTAGCTGAGGCCAGCCAGCTTTTTTCAGATGTGTGTTCTGGCCCCTTTGGTGGTTCTTCCAAACCTTCCATTTCTGATTCCCTGTCTGCTCCTCCCTTCCCTCCCACATGCTTGACCTCCAACAGCATTCCTTTGCTTGTCTTAAGACCTTACATGTCGTTTTACTCTCCCTCTCTCCCCAAGAATGTGATCCTGGCCTGAGCTTTCTAATTGTGTGTAGCAAGGATAAAACTCCTTGCCTCGCTTGGCTGCCCCCTTGTTTGGAAACTCACCCTAAACATTTCCACATGGCTTACACTTTTTTTGCACAGTTAAAATTTTTCTTTACTCTTTTCCTTTAAACTTTTTCTTGTTAAAAAAAAAGAAAAAAGAAAAAAAAAAGAGAGAAAGAACTCCAGCTTCTTCTACCTTGGGCTGCTGGCACTGATCTTACCTTGTTACTGTTTGCATTTCTTTTGTACCTTTTTGCAGCTAAAATCTCTATGGGCTTTTAAATCTGTCAGCAGCCGCTACCAGGCTCAGTGTGCAATTTAGCTCACTGTTTTCACAAGTTTCCCAGCCCTGAAAGCTTTCCAAATGAACCATTGTTGGTCTGAGTTAAAGAGTTATTGTCTGTGCTTGGGTTAGGTTAGCATGGATGCCAGAACCTGTGTGTGTGATGTTCTTAGTGCTGCAAAGTCATCTAGATATCGAACCCTTGGATGTTTCCTTCTCCAAACACTTAAAAATAGAATCATAAAATCATTTGAGCTGGAAGAGGCCTTTAAAGGTTATCTGCTCCATCTCCCCTCAATAGATAAGAAATAGGAAACCCAACCAAAACTGATTTATTGAAATGTCACTGGAAGTTTGTATTTTTATTACTGTAACTCTAGTTTACGCATCTTTGTCTGTCTCAGATCATGCAGCCTACTTGCTGTGAAGACCATTCCTATTTGTTTAAGTCCCATCAGTACCTGAGACTGCTGGCTGTGACCAGAGCTTTATTCTGGTCAGTGCTGAGTGAACAGAGCACAAGTAGTACTCTCTGCTTTTATGGTTTAGAGAAACATGAATAGGAAGATAGACTGACATTGTCTACCTTTTACAGAAGAGACAGACAAGTTGTCTTCTGCTGAACTCATTTTTTTTAAAAGACTGAATTTGCTTATTGTTTAACCTGATGTGAAGTTGTGTGGAGTAGAATCCTCTCATTCTGAACAGCTGATTGTTTTTTGCTGGGGCCTCTGTGCTTCAGTGGACAAGTATAATGGTACTGAAACCTTTTCAGCTTGTAGGTTGCCGATGACATTATTGCCACTAAACCACTGTCTTTTGACCTTTGTTTAGAAGATAAAGTGATTTCACTATTCTCATTCTAAATCGTTGGCAGCCCATGGAAGAAACAAAAAGCTTTATTTATTTATTTTTCACTTAGTCTCTGCCCAGATGTAGAACAAAGTTTCGTGTACCTCAAATCTGTTGATGTTTTTAACTGGAACACCAAGCTGATAATGCATGCCAGAAGAAAAGTGTACTGAATTTTTTTCCTTTCTCTAACTACTGTAAGGAGCATCTCTATTATGTAAGCCAGTGCTTTGAGTTCGTAATTTCATCCCTTTCATGTGATCTTTTTCATCCCATACCAATCATAAGTAATGGCAGTCTGACCCTGCAGTTGTCCAGACTGCTCTATTTCCAAGTTGTGTCCTGACAGGGGAAACTTGGAGTAGCGAGGCAAAAAGTATGAAACCAATGGTCTTTTGGAGGCACTAAATCCTCTGCATTTTGATTGAAGGCTAGGTAATGTACCTGATCAAGATTCCTCTTAATATATTAGAAATTACAATGCAGCCACTGACTGTGTGTTTTTTTCTGTTTTTCTTTTTTGTGATCTCCAGGATGAATTGGATCTTACAGACAAGAACAGAGAGGCTATGTTTGCACTCCCTCCAGAGAAGAAATGGCAGATATACTGCAGCAAAAAGAAGGTATTACTATTGTCCTGATCAAAATAGCTCATGTATAAATTGTATGTGCATGCACATCATTACTGATGCATATCCAGATGTGAAATCCATGTTTATCCACTATTTTCTCAAGAACATGATGAAGCGATTTAAGGATTTTTATTGACATGCATATACTTCTTGTGAGAGTGTTGCACCATATTCATGCGTGATTTTTGAAGAATATGTCAATAAGCAGAAATCTTATGCTTCCCCATACTGAATATTTTACATGTTTCTTAGCAGCAGAAATAAATGTTGTAGTGGCAAAAGCTTTAAGGAATTTTTTAAAACTTCTGTAGGATGCTCAGAATACAGTCATTACTGAAATATCAGGATGAATTAAAATACATGAAGAGTATTATAATAATATCTTAAAACCTGGCAGCAAATACTTCTAGAGCTAATAGGAAATACTGTGTTGTATTATAAAGTGAAGGGTACTTGCTCATGTCAGTGTTTCTCCAGTCAAGGTTTTCAACTTTGGACAAATCAGTGAGAAGGCCCGAAGACTGGGAGCTGATACTTGAGTATCTTGGACACGATTTTTGTAGTGACATGTGCAATTAATGTTTTTGTTACTGCTGTGAAACTTGTACAAGACAATTCATGCAGGAGTGATATGGTGGAAATTTTTTGATGCTGTAGGAAAGAAACAGGTTGTTGGATAGAAAGATGGTGAATTCAAAGGCTTTATTAATATGCGAGTCTGCTGTGAGAGCACTGGTCTTTATACGTAGGTCTGCATAGCAGAAGCTGGAGGGGAAGGTTTAGATTTCCGTACTGAAGAAGGCAGATTGTAACCTTGATGATAATCCTTTTGCAGTCATTGTTAGCTGCCATTCACATGCTTGTTTTGCGAGTCATTGAAAAACTTTGCTATCTGAGAATAGTAGCCTAACTTCTTTTCTCAGCATTAAATTAAAAATAAATTAAAAAAAAAAATAATTCAGCTTTCTTACCACGTAATTAAATAAAACACCCAATCAGGTGGGTATTTTGTATGTTTCTTGTTTTTGATTGAGATGCATCACAGAGGGAAGTCAATAGCATCAAATTAGTTGCAGTGCCTTTGAACTAGCAATAATTAGAGAAGTATATAAAAGTAGCCTAGGTTCAGTTGTGCTTGGTGCTCTTCATTCTTCTTCCCACTATTGCATTGAGGCTGAGTGTGTAGGGAAGGTGAAGGCTGTTGTGATCCATGTCTGCTTTACATTTTTGCTGGCAGGCTCAGCTGGCTTTTTCAGCTCTGATGGGAGAGGATCTATTTGTAGCTGTCTTAAAGAACCACACATTCCACCTCTAGGACCATTCAGCCTTGGCAGGAAGATTCAGGCTTTAATGTATTTAATATGTTGGTTGGATTCAGTACATTACACTTTTTTTTTCTTCTCTTTTTTTCCCTTAAAGTAGTGGATTTGATATAAGAATCCTGAAGACCTCCGTAGTTAAAGGAGCTGCATACTGGAAAATCTTTATAATGCATTTATAGTGAAACCTCAGTTAGCTGAGCTCCAGCTATCCAAAATGATGTGCTAACTGGAACAGTATACTGTTGCCAGATATCTATTCATTACATTGCAGATACTTTCAATTACTTGAAACCTTAACTGTCCAATGTTATTCATTGTTTCCCCTCACAGTCAGTCAAATGATCCCTGCTGACACATCTCTCCAGCCTCCTACCTAATCCACCTATCATTACTGTTCTACAGTGACAGAAAAGCGTGCTGCAGGCTTCCCTGAAGAGGAAAGCTGTCTTTTCCCTGAAGAATTTGTAATCTAATTTTGGCCTCAAAGAGCCTGGTACCTCACTAGACAGAGCTCCATTAGCTATGCATAGAGTTCTGTCTTGTTGATGCGAAGTTCTCTGCTTTCTGGGAAGTGAGGGCTCTGTGTCCACTCTGAGGAAAAGCTTTGTAAGGGGGCAAGAGCAAATGCTATGTGTTAGAAGGTCAAAAAGTACAAGTTTAGGGAATTGTTCATGTTCATTTATCTCAGATGTCTTTTCAAGGGTAAAAATAATGGAAGGTCAGAGCTTCTTGATCTGCTCCAAAAGTGCAGTATTAGTGTCTGTATTAAGTAAAAAACGTCACCTGCAGGAATGAAGAGCACTCCTCATTGTAGACACACTGTATTTTTATCATGACAGTTAAACTTCAGTTATAATCTTTCATAGCACTTGTTCCTGGAAGGACTTCCCTATTGTATCAGAATTCTCATTCCTTCTGTCTCTGATATTAAATCTTTCTAAAGAAATGCAGAGAGATGCATGTCTATGCACAAAGTTGTATACTGGGGACCAAGCTTGCCTATCAGAGTTCCCTGATACCCAAGGGAGTCTCAGTTCTGGGTGGAAATTTTGTGGTTGTGGGTGATAGCTACAGAGGAGTGTTCACATTTATGATACAGTTGTATTTCCTTTGGTCTCCTTTGGCCATTCTAGATTTGCATTTGAAACCTCAAGTATTAAAACCAAATTCCTTATGATTTGATCTTAAAGAAGTAACTTCAGTTGGCAACTACAGTGACTGCTTCATCTCCTTTGTTGAACAGCTATTTGCAAGGAATAAAGGCTGACTACTGGAAAATGTTAACCTGTTCTCAATCTCAGCTGTTCCTTTATCTTGCCTTGAATCTGCTGAGTGCATAAGGAGAGACGATGAGTTGTCCTCATTTGCATCATAAAAATCGTTAGTCAGTCCTCATTGTGGCACCTTGACACTCTACTCAAAGCACCGTATTTAGAGTTAAACAAGTTGTGTTTTTTGATTTATTTTTGTTGTTTATTTGAGGAAAAATTAGTAGCAAATCTCTTTCCAAAGCACAGTCAAACTGGAAATAGCTCTATCATACAGCTTCTCTCCAAACAAACAAGCCACCTAGAAGTTCAATCCTAATAACTGTTCAGCTTTCCTATTTATTTATTTATTTAACTTTTCTGCTGTCATTGTGCTGTAGATTAGATGCATTCATTTAATTGTGCAGTACCTACTCATAGGATAAGAGAAAGGCTTGGGTTGGAAGGGACCTTAAAGCTCATCCATTTCCAACCTCAACCACTGAATCAAGCTGCCTGGAGCCCCATCCAGCCTGGCCTTGAATGCCTCCAGGGATGGGGCATTCACAGTTCCTCTGGGCAGCCTGTGCCAGTACTTCGTTACCCTCTGAGTAAAGAATTTTCTTCTGGTGTCTAATCTAAATCTCCTATCTTTTAGTTTAAAGCCATTCCCCCTGTTCTGTCACTATCAGGCAGTGTAAAAAGTTGGTCTCCCTACTGTTTAAGAGCTCCCCTTAAGTACTGGAAGGCTACAGTGAGGTCTCCGTGAAGCTTCTCTTTTCCAGGCTGAACAAGCCAAATTCCCTCAGCCATTCTTCATGGGAGAGGTGCTCCAGCCCTCTGATTATCTTCATGGTCATTCGGTTGACCTGCTCCAACAACTAGTCAAATGGCATCACTCAAACTCAAGTAGTGAAGCAATAAATGGCATGCTGCAGCTTTCTGGAAAGAGGTATTTAGAGCATCTTAAAAAGTGTGCACGCATATAAGCGTCTGGATGAGGAGCTATGAGATATGGTTTAGTAGCTTGTGGTATCAATGGTAGTGAGAGGATAGTTGGACTAGATGATCTTATAGGTCCTTTCCCACCTTGTGATTCTGTGATTCCATAGTCCTCATGTTCGTTTGACTTTTTGCTTTATCAGAAAACAGATCTAGGGAAAGGCATCACTAGAACAGCCAAATGGCTTTAAAATAACTCCAATGAAAATGTATCTGATGCACATGCTATACCAGCCAATGTGCAGAAAAGATTTCTTAATGAATTCATGACCTGCAATTATTCTTTTTATATTATTTGTGAATCACATTTTTCTCCTAACTGATGAATAAGAAAACTAGCAAACAATGTGAGAAGTCAGGAACTCATTTTTAAGCTCTTTGAGCTCTAAATTGCTCTATAATTTCAGAGAACTTGTCATTATTGTGTTTATATATAAATGCATTTCTCTCTATCTGAAAAAAAGAATAGCAAAGTAGTAAATCTAGGGAAACATTATGTTGGTATTCCGACCATGTCATTCTCTCAGGCCTCTTTCCTGTACTGTATATGCATACCTTGGCTGCATGTCATATATTCCTTTTTTTTTCTTTTTTTTTTCTTTCTAAGAAACTATCTCAAATATTTTTTGTTTAATCAGTATTCATTCTTTTACACTACCTTAGAAGATGGATAAGTTTGACATTCTTGTAGGAATGGATTCTGTGGTATGTCTGTACACAAGAGAGCTTAATGCATGGGGTGGGAAAGATGGAGTGGAAGATACTTTTATGCCATTACACCAGCACAGTTAGGCTGTATTCTAGGTGAGGAATGTCCCAGATGTCTTTCTAAAAAGTACTTAACTCTTCCACCAAGAAACAGCAGGTATCACTGCAACACCTGATACTCAGTTCCCTTTTCCTGATGTGAGGCCTTCATCTAGCTGTACATTAGGTTCCAAAATGCCCTTAGGAATCCTAGTTTTAGTTAAACTTTTAACAGCTCCTCTGAAGGCTTTTTAAAATGTTTGCAGTTCCATTTCACAAACTTCCAGTTTGGCCCCATGCTGACTGTCTTAACATTAATTATGATAATGTCTACATGTCACAGCTTTTTCTTAGAGTTTTTCTGAACTTTACCCTAGTGGTCAGCAAAATGTCACCATATAAAGAGTATAGCTTGATATTGTGCAGCTTGATATAACACAAGATACTTATTTTCTCTACTCCATGTCCAGGCATGCCTGCAGAGCACTAAACAGAATCTCCAGTTCAACACTAGCTTGTAACGCTAATTGAAAGCTAGCTACAATTCCAGATTCCAGAGAATATATTTCACACTGAAACTTGGATACATCTTCCTATTAAAATTAAAAATATAAAAATGAACTCATGTATGTAATATCAGTTCTTGTACCATATACACACATATATCTGTAAT